TGTCTCGCCGGGATCTCCGTGTTTCCGTGGCACCTGCTTTGTTGTCAGCTGTTGAGAGTCTCCTCGCCTTTCCGTTCCGCGTCTAGCAGCGTGCTGTAAACAAACATCGCCAGCGGCAGCCGCAATCGAAACGATAACACGTTCTTATGGACGAGAGTTAAAGTACCGTTTCACGTACCATTTAAACGGCGACTTTCCTTGAGACCGATGACGTTTCTTCTTTCTTCTTGTTCCCTCGGTGTTCTGTGGTCTCTGCCCTTCGTGGTCGGCGAGGAGAGTTGGGGGCACATTTTCTTAGGGCGCGATGACCATCCCACTTGCGGGACCGCATACGCTTCGCTAATCAACCCCCCCTCTACGCTCGACCGATATGACCGCGGAAAGCTGTCGCTTTTAATCACAAAAATATCCGGGAGCGCTATGCACCCCCCCTTTTCCGGAATGCGCGAAATCATGCGAACGGAGCTCTCTCGCCCTTGTGACGGGCGCCCTTCGGCTGCCACGTCACAATATATATATGTACATGTATTTTAAAATATTGTAATATTTTTTTAAATATAAAAGAATATATGTATAATGTTATTATTTTTATTATATATAAATAAAATATTATTATATATAATGTATAAAATATATAAAATATACTACAACAAAATTATATTTTAATATTACTATAATTAAATTTTAATATTACTTACAACGTACATTGGATAAGTCATATTATTTTTACATCCTCTACTTATTTATTTATATTTGTCCTGTAACAATTTCTGATATTAACTAATATTAATATTTTCGGATCCTAAACTTCTTACACTTTTTACAATGAACTAAAACTAAATACTTTAGTCGTGATATGTGATAACAAAAACATTTTTTGAATATTTAAAGTGCTCCTTTGTAATTACTTTACATTTTAATGTCAAAAGTAGCAGTAATTGAGATCCACTTTACTCCATTCTACTGATAGCTTGACCAGAAAGATACCGTACCAGTTATCTATTAACTCTTTCACAGTGGGACGTTTTGAGCTATATCTTTTGTTATCCGCGGTCACGTTTTATTGACGTTTCAATGAATTACGTTTCAATTTTTATTCTTTAATATCAATTTTTTATTAATTTATATCAATATTTTAACAATGTTGGATATTGTTCAAAATTTTTTCGAAGTCACACATACATGATATTCACCGATAATCGCTGGCAGACAAAATCACGTATATACCTGCTGTTAAGGATAAATTTTACCTTTTAAAAATTACAACCGGAAAATCATACACGTGGTTATAAATGTTTCGAGAAAATTTTTTATTTTGTTATAAAAGAACCATAATTTTTTATAAAAATAAAGGTGAACGGAAGGTTGGGGGAATAAGTTTTTTTTAAATTGTTTGTCAGATTGGTAAATATAATTATATACCATACAA